CTTGTCTTTTATTTCCTTGAATATTTTAAGTCTATATTCAGTAAAGCTTGTGTCCGATAACTCCAATATCTAGAAGCTCTATGGGTCTGCTTATAATGCCTGATCTTTCTATTTATATTTTTTTACATTGCCTTGTCTCTGCATGGGCCTGGTCAATTTTACTTGAGAACTGGATTTTGTAAACGAAAACTTGTAGAAATAATTTGCGACTTAGAATGATATTATTTTCCTCCTGAGAGGATTTGCCTTTCCTTCTGGGCTATGTCTAGAAATCCAGAATAACATGAATTGAACTTCAAGACTTCAAATGATTTGAAAGGCTAAGGTCATTATATTTCTCAACAGCGTATGTGTTTTGCTGTATAGAATTCCAACTTGAATCATGAGGGATTTACCAGAGTCCTCCTCTTGATTTTTATCTCCTTAGTCTTGCAAGTCTGTCAATTTTTTTTACCTTCCCTGCCACTCAGCTGCATTTTTGGAATCAACACAGCTCCCCTACTTAGGGGAAAAGCAACTTCAAATTGTGGGCTCATCTTTGAATTTTTTTCTTCTGGATCTTTCCTCAATATTTTCCATTGGGGCATTTACCCCAAAGACTTGAAAACTAATATCCAAAAAAAAGATTTGCATACTGATATTTATAGCAGCACTATTCACAGTGGCCAGGACATGGAAGCAATCAAAGTGTCCTATGATAGATGATTGGCTAAAGAAGCTGGAATATTGCTCAGCCATAAGAAGAGATTAAATACTGCCATTTGCAACAACATGGATGGACCTTGAAAAATCATACTAAGTGCAATAAGCCAGACAGTAAAAGTTGAAAATCATGATATCACTTATATGTGGGATATAAACCTAAAAGCAACAAATGAAGAGGACAAACAAACAGAAACTCATGGACATGAACAAGGGACTAGTGGTTACCAGAAGGGAGGAGAGAGGGTGGAGGGGGGAAATAAAAATATAGAAAAAATAAAATGTTAAAAAAAAACCTTTAAAAATAAAAATTAAAAAAATATTTTCTATTGACTATATCACTGGGTTTCTGATCTCATCAGGTTAGAATTTCCAGTATTACAGGGAAAAAAATATGTCAAGTTTCCACATACATATAAGTTTGTTTCTGGTTTTCTATTGAATTCCATTTATTTATTTGTCTACTTTTATACCAATACTATATACACACACACACACACACACACACACACACACACACACACACACATATATATATATGTATATATGTATATATGTATATATGTATATGTATGTATGTATAAGTCTGTCTCATGATTAGTACATACTTATACTAAAAACTTATTTTATCCTTCTATATTCTGAAGCTCAAATTTAATTGAGTGTTCTGCCCTACTTTAGACAAATTTATCTCCATATTTTTGCAGCTTTTCTAGATGATCTCTGAATAACCTAGCATATCATTACTGGCATGGAAGTTTGCTTTTGCTAGCTGGTCAACAGTTTAGTTATCAAAATTTTTAAAAAAGACGAATCACCAAACGAAAAGTTAGTATGTTTGTTTAAACCCTAGCTGCCATGAACTACATGTGTGACCTTGTGTAAGTGCCCTTACATTTTAGTCTGATTTTCCTTAGATGTAAAATAAGAATGATAGATGACATTTGTTAAGGCCTTATATGCCAAGCATTGTGTTAAGCACTTTTTAAAAGTAATAATCACCTTACTTCATAGAGATTTTGTGAGGATCAAATTAGAAAATAGTCTGGTACATATAATTGCTAATTAACTGTTAGGACCTATTAACTATTAACTTTTAAATTTAATTATACATTATATTTACACCAGCTCTACTACCATCATTGCATACTGAAGTCTCAAACTCTATAGCAGGCCTACTAATCCCTCAAGAATGAAGAGAAAAAACAACTATTTTCTTGTTTCTTTAGGTGATACTATAAGTAAAGTGAAAAATTATACTTTCTGAATACATGTCCCCAAATAAAAACTATAGTTTCAAACATACATAATTGTAGATGTAGAAACTTTAGTTTTACTCCATTTTGTGAATGAGCTGAGCTGGTCACTTCTGCCAAAATTTGAAAACAAATCACTTGCCAAGCAAAAGTAATCAAAATGTTATAAGGAGTTCTATTTCAAGGCCACCATTAACCTATAAGCGCTTAGGGTGTAAACATTTTCCTTTGGAAGGATGTAGACATCACCCTTTGGTGAGTGGAGCATGGGTTGGATTTCAACCTCCTACTTACCCCATGGTTGGACACTTTTATGTAGGACATGCCTGGACAACTATACAATACAATTTTTTAAATTATAAATGCTGATCTCACTGGCACCTACAGGCAGAGTAACTCACATTCTGAACTACACTGACTCAATGTGGTTACCTAGCTACATGGCTCTCTGCTTTATTCAGAGTTCCTCCGTGATTCCTAACCTACGACATACCTGTCTTTGAGGCTCTGATAGTAGTGGATCTGGGTATGAAAACTAACTAGGGAACAACTGTGAGGTGACTTGGAGAATAAGGAACTAAGTTATATGATTGCTCATCAAGAGCTTAAAAGGTAATCTACAGCTTTACAAATTGCTGTAGGCAAAGTAACTCTGGAAAAAAACTAAAAATATTGATATTTCTAACATAAGAACACATCCACTAAAACACTCAGGCGTATCCAGGCAGTGGGAAGTCTTAACAATTACAGTTTAGTGGATAAAAAAGAATAAATACAATGGCTAATTAAAAGTTGATGAAAAATGTTTAATCTCACTAGTAATCAAATAAATTAAAACAAGATACTATTTTTAGCTCATATTTAATTGTTAGTGTTCAATGTTAGCAAAGATTCTATGATATAGTCAGAGTTACATTTTCTGGTGGAAGTGTAAAGTGATTATTGAAAAGCAATTTGGCCACAGGATGGGAGAATCCTTAAAATATTCATATCTTCTAAGGATGATTATTGAAATATTTATATCTTCTATTTCAAGAAATATTTTATATCAGTTAAGTTTAAATTTAGCTATATATAACAAAATAACAATGACAAAAAAAACATGTTATCTGTAAGAGAGGCTTCAAAATGTAGTACTTTAGCTGGACATTGTCATCCAAAATAAAATTGACATTCTGTCATTAAGGAGGAAGAGGAGAATGAATGTTGAATAGGTAACTAACAATTTTTACTCTATTATCCTGGGGAGCAAACTCAAACTTAAAAATAATTTTCAAAAAGTCATTGATCTGTAGAAAAAAGACAAAATTTCCAAAAATAGGAGAATGTTTACAAATTACAAATAAATTCAATTATTTCATAGAACAAGGAATATTATATACAAAGTTTTAAATGATAGTTTAACATGCTTATGCAATAATGTTAATTAAAAAAAATCAAAATGCATTGTTGTATAAAATTTATGCAGGCATGCTTTATTTTATTGCACTTAGCAGATACTGCGTTATTTTGCAAATTGAAGGTTTATGACAACCTTATGTCAAGCAAGTCTATCGGCTTCATTTTTTCCAACAGCATTTGTTCATTTTGCATCTCTGTGTCACATTTTGGTAATTTTTGCATTGTTTCAGAGTGTATTGTTATTATTATATTTGTTATGTTGATCTGTGATCAGTGATTGTTGATGTTACTAGGGAAGACCCTTCACCAGCAAATAAAGATTATGAATCGCTTAAGGTTCATGATGGTTAGCAATTTTTAGCAATAAATTTTTTTAAAATTAAGGTATGTACCTTTTTTAGACATAATGCTATTGCACACTTAATAGACTACTGTATAGTACAAACGTAACTTTTATATGCAATGGAAAACCAAGAAGTTCATATGACTCTATTGTGATATTTGCTTTATTGAAGTGGTCTGGAACAGAACCTGCAATATATTTGAAGTGTGTACTCTCAGGTATGCAAAGAACACTCAGAAGATTTTTTTTTTTTACTTTTCTTTGTTGTTCACATTTTCCACAATGAATATATTTTACATTTATGTAAATAAATTTGTAGACATTATTTTTAAAAAACATTATAATTGAATTCTGAGAATTTGACAAATTCTTAGATGTGACAAATAGAATTTTAAATTGGAGATTCCTCATATTGTAGCAAACCAAATTAAAATAAGGGATATAGCCTGGCAAATTTTTCAAATTCAAAGAAAAAGCTCTATAAACTGAATTGGGAAAAGCAGATCATCTTCAAATGAACTAAACTCAGCTTGGCCATAGATATTGTCCTCTACAGAACAAATTGCCAGAAAGTAATGAGACACAGTATTATTATCTAGTTATCCTCATTGTCGTCATTATCACTAACATTTACTGAGCACCTAGTAACACTTTTATTTAATTATCCAACATCTTATAAGGTAGCTGTTATTGCTGATTCCATTTTACACTTAAGGGATAGGGGTTACAGGGAAGTCGACTTGCTCATTGTCTCATAGATTTTCAATAACAGAGCTAAACTTCCAACCCAGGCAGCATAATCCCTCAAGGTCATATCTTTACTGCTTACATATATAGAACTTTGAAGAAAAACAAATGGTGATGCAAAGAGTTTACTGATGTGTAGAAAATATGCCTCATGTTCATGTATTTCAATGACTTCTCAAAACTTTCCTCCAATTTACCAAGCAATTAATCACAACAAAGTATTTTATAACAGAAAATTTACAAAAGAAACAGACTGGTGGTAAGCATCAAACTACCTACCTTAGAACTAAGGATTTAAAAGCAATAACCTCTTTAGATAGCCTCTAATAGAGAAGTCTAAATAGATTTAACTTGTATACAAAAATACTAAGGCCGAAGCAATTTTTATGACATTTTTAGAATTCAGTCAGACCTCTTGACTATCATGTGGTACCTGCCTTGGCTCATGGAAGAAATCAAGTTGTAGTTCTTGAAGGTGTCTTCTCTTGCCCTGGCTATCTCTTTCTGATTTATATTTTATTTCTCAGTTCCATTTCATTTTTGTCTTTCAGCTGAAACTAAGATATGCTTCAAATACTACCATGGAGTGAGTGGAGCCCTGCGAGCTACCACCCCCAGTGTCACAGTCAAAAATTCAGCAGCTCCTGTAAGTCCCATTCCTTCCTTTCTGGTCAGATCTAATTCTGGTGCTTCTTTACTTTTCCGTTTATTCTTATGTTTGTGTGGTTTTATGTATACACACATATGGGGACATATTGATAAATTATGAATAGGCAGCTAGACAGACAGATATACATCTCAAAATAATAAAGAATGAGATCCAAAGGAAAGCTTATTAAAATGTATACTAGTTTTTGTTAAAGAAATGTCAAGCTTCAATCGATAGCCAGATGTTTTTAATAGACTCATGCTTCATAACTATGAATAATAAATCTTTCTTTGGAACACATTTTTAAATTTCTTGGTTTTAAATATGTATTTTTTCATATGTTTTAATTTCATTTTAGGCTTATAAATAAATAACTGATTTTAGTCATAGAATTATAAAATGATAGTCCTAGAAAAGACTAAAATCTCTGATTCTTTTTTTTCTTTACATAAATAAGGAAACCATGCTCAAAGAACTTAAGAAATATACCTCAGGTCCCACAGCTAGTTAGTTGCAGATCAGGGTTTTAAATCACGTCTTTTGTTCCCTCTTCTGTGGCTTCGATCAGTGCCATGGTAACAGACACTATCTTTTTCTAAATTATAGTCTAGTTTTAATCTTTGTGGAAATTTTTATGTTAGTTCTCAGTACATCTGATCAGGCTAGCTGATATCTACTTACAAATGGCATCCTTATCTTTTTCACATAAATTTATAATTACTGAATGGGAGAGACTGAACAAAACCCAGTGAGAACTTTGTCATGCTCATGTAAGTAAAAAACAAATTTTTTTTTCCTATGGGGAGAGAGAAAGAGGGGTGGGGCAAGTACTTGAAATATGAATGATTCAGAAAATACTTTGGATCTAAAAGATAAGTGTGAGATTTAAGAAAGAGATCCACTCTTCCAGGACCATTAGTATAGGCCATCCTCAAAAGAGGATACTTGGAAAACCAAAGAGGTCCTGATACATGTAGCCAATTGTGAAGGCAGGGAGATCAGCTAAATTGAGGCAGTAAAGATGGAGTTGGGGCTGAACTGAACCAGAGGCGAAGCAGGAAGGCACTGAACACACAGCAGACAGAGAAGGAAGGAGGCTGGAAGTGGAGTCAAGCTGATTTATGAAAAGTCTTTCAGATGTAGGCTTGGCTGGCTTTTGCCATGGTAGCAAGTTCTGTGATGAGGAGATGCTGACTTCAGGAACAAGGGCTTATGTCTGAGAAGAGGAAACGTGATACAAGGTGTTTCAATCATGTTATTTGACAGGAGGTTTCAGGAGATTGCATTGATTATGTGTCAGCCCTCATCCCACCCCATCTTTGTTATTCCATATGTGTTACCATTGCTTGTTCTTAAAACTCAGACATCTTGAAATACTTTGATATGTTGCTATTGTTTTGATTATCATCTCCATAATGATTTTCTCACAAAAATCTGTAAACACTCGACACTTTAATGTACATTATACTTTGTTTCTCTTCGTAATCTCTATGTATGGAAAGCCCAATCATAAAGCTCATGTGACACCAGGGGTCAGAGAGCGTACTTGTTCTACTTCTTCATCAGAGATGAACACTTGGAGTCCTGTGGCAGAAGGGAACATGGATTTTCCTGCAAGACAGTATTTTAATGTACAATTAGGTTTTATAATAGTTAAACTATTAGTGGCCCTTCTTGTTCTATATCATGGTGCATTTATCAGAGGAGTGTTACTTGTATTATCCTAGTTGATTCACAGCACATTTGTGAGATAGTCAGGAAATATCATTTTGGTTTTGTGACCACTTGGCTATATGGCAATGAAGTTGAATCAAATCTAGCTTATACTTTTTGCAACTCACTTTAGTTACTGGTATAATCTAACAAACTTCTGGGTTAAACAAGCCTATGAAGTTTGGTCTGGGACTTAAGCACCCTGTTTCTAAGGGGAAATGCTATTCAAGTATCTCAAAATCAATCTGTTAATAAATTTGAGTATTTGTTTTTAAATTGAAAAATGCTGGTACTGCAGTAATTTCTTATGAAGAGTTAGTTTTCTATGGCCATTATATTATGTCCCAAAAGTTACTAAGCTAGTTTGTGACAATATACTAAAACTATAATTCTTTGAAAAGGATTGGTAAGATATTAAATGTTCTTTTAGTACTTTAATGCTTTGAGCGTAGCAGGTTATCAATATATATTTCCTCATTCTGCCTTATCCTTTGTCTTTGTCCTACTGTGGACATCTGTTGAGGTCCCAGTTATAAAAAGAAGTTGTCATCTATTCTTATCTTTCTGGGGCTTTCATTTATTTATTAGTCTTGATTGTATATCAGAAACTAGAATGGGTCAGAGTTATAGAGATGAATGAAATATAAGCCCTGTCACTGAGAACCTATAGTTATTCTGTTATAAATGATATATAATCTGAAATGTCAGGTACTAGAGGGTAAAATCCATTGTTTTTGTGTGTGGAGAAGGCAGTAAGGGTGTGCCTACAGCATCTGGGAAGGCTTTTAGAAGAGGTGGTATGTAGTCTGCATCAGGTAGCATGAATAGGACTTTGCCAGGCCTAGGAGGGAAGTAAGGCACAGCTGGCAGAAGAGACAGAATATGCAAAGGCATGGGGGTTTGAAATGCCACAAGACCTAAACTGTGTTAGGTCTAAAGAATATATGACTTACTTAATGTTCACCATATAGCACCTGCACTTTTTTTTTTCATAGTTTTTGTATTTTACTGGGAGCATTTAGCATGTTTCATATTTTTCTTCTATTTTCTGTAGAAAATCATTTTCAAAAGCAAGCTCTTCCTCTCAGTATTTTCACCCATGCCACATTCCTCTTGTGTATTACAGTCTCTCTTAATGAGTCCCATGATAGTTTTTTCCTCTCTCCATTTATACATGAAAGGACAAAAATCTATGCATACCTTCAGTTTTCCAAAAGACAGAGCAGGTAGTTCAACACTATTTTCACTGTGAATTTCCAAGCTTCTCCCTTCTGGTCTGCCTCAACAGTAGGTTTCACATCTGCCTTCCCTTTTTGTGGGACTGAGCAGGCATCTTCTAGTAGGGTGGGCATCTTCTGGACTAGATAAGAACACTTCCTCTGCCCACTGGGTTCTCCTACAGTGTGGGAAAGTGAGACACATCTGTAGCTGTTCTCAGTCTATGTTCAAAGTACTGAGCACACCACTCCTTATGCCTGTTTTCCAAGCCTTTCCCTAAGTAGCATTCACTTCACAGGGCAGTGGTCACCACTTGTTTTCTTCATTTTCAGCTGTGCTGAGCCCTGGGGACAGTAGTCTCTAGATATAGAAAAAACGTAGCTATTGGAAGAATAATTCTGGCAGGCTCATGAGGCAGGGCCCAAAGGTTGGGAAAAGTCTACCACAGTGAGGAACAGGCAGAGGACATTATGTTCCTGCCTTCTTTAGGGCCTAGTGTTGAGGGGTCCCGTAGATTCAGAGGCCAAGCCATGTGTAATCCAAGTATGTTTTTCTTACTCTATCATCATCGACATTCAAATTTGTGGAAATTCTCTTGGAATTTTGTTATTCCCGATTATTCCTATCTTTACTTCACATTACTATTATCTCCTTATCTATCTATCATCTATCTATCTATTTATCTATCTATCAATCTATCATCTATCTATCTATGTATTCTATACTTCTAACTTTTTCAATGAGAAATTGGAAGTAAAAATATCTGATTCTGTTCATTCTTTCACCACTTTAATTCAATTTCTCTGCAACCAAGCTTTTGATTATTGAGCAGCGTAAAGTTCTTTGCCAAAACTTGAAATACTTTTCCATAAGTTCATGTTCATAGATTCATTTGCTTTGTCGGACCCCTAAGCAGAGACATTATCATCATCATCATCGTCATCATCATCATCATCATAACTCATTAAGGCATTTTCCTGGAAACATAGGCTAAATTCATACTCTGAGGTAGGATCAGGTCAAGATTTTCCTCCTTAAACAGAGTCTGGGTCTCCTGAAATGGACAAATATGTGATTAATATCCACAAAACTCTAAGTCATTAAGCTTGGCTATATTAGTATTTGTCTTGGAAATCAGATCTTCTGAAAAAATATTTTAAATCATAATAAAGCAACCACGAAACTTTAAAGTTATAAAAACTCTTGGAAAATATTCCAACCAAACTTGTTGAAAAATTAATTCACAGGTAATAGACTGATGTGACCAGCTATCTAGAATTGTTAGATACAAACTAATGAATTTGGAAGGTACCTTGGTTTTATAATGAATGATGTGTGCTCTTGTGTTTGGCAGAGATTAAGTGGCAAGACCAGTTGCTGATTGAAGCCATTCTTGAAAGCATCAGTTGCAATATATCATCAATTTTGGGGAGAAGATTTCTTAATTTACCAAAGGGTCCCCTTCATCTTGTGTACCCATATGGAGTCTCAACTTCACCCAAAATGTGCCAAGGAAAAATTGCCAAAATAAAAAAAAAATAATAATAAAAAAATAATAATAATAATAATGATAATAATAATGGAGTATAGTTTATGCTCTCTTTATAACTGTACTGCTCTAGTGAGCTGGAGTCCAGCATTGAGATCCTCAGGAGACTGGGCAGCAGTTTTCACAGCCCCCTCAATATGAGGCAGCCTTAAACCTGGGGACAGCAGCATTTCCCAAGGGGCTATATTTTTATAATTTTAGTTTTTTAATGAGTAGTGCTACATAAAGAATCACAATGAAAGAGGAACATGAGAAAAGTTCACAACCATTTTTCTTAAATCATAAGAAAACAAGGCCTTTTAAAAAGTTAGAATTGAACTTTTCGTGATCTCATCAGACTCTTGCCCTACAATCTTATTCTTAAACCTAAACTCATTTCAAGTTCTGATTCTGGAAACCTAGCTTCATGATGTTTTGGAAACTTGATATTATATTTATTTTGTGATTTGGGTTTTATAATAGCCATGGGGCCTTTTTAAAATTAATTCTGTTTGCCTGCTGTCTCACTAACACATCT